GGCGTTGATAGTGGGAACGGTTGTGATGATGCCGTCACTGAAGTCCTCGACGCTTTTACCGATAGCCTCCAAGAAAACCGGTCATTCCTCTCTCTTCTCATAACTAACACCACTTGCGCAGCTCAGAGACTAGCAAATTTCAGTGGAGTGCTCATTGACGTGGTACGATTCCTTTCTCTTTTTGACAGGGTTTGAACCAAAGAGCTGATACTTTTTCAGAGCAAGGTGAGGTTGATCTCTTCTCATGACCTGAAGAAGGTGTACGACGTGTTAATATTTCCACTAGTCGAGCACGGCTATGTGAATTCGACGTCGGATACGCAAATTGTGCTCAACAATGCTTATTACTTAGTTAACTATTCTACTTCATGCGTATCTGAAATGGCCCTTGGTGAGTTAACTTTCTATGGTGACGCAATCCAGCTTAGACTAATTCTCAAGCAACCTTTTGAGTTTTTGGTATGAGCAGGTTTAAGCATGAGATGGCTTAAACTGCCGGGGTGCTGTAAGATAACCAGGAGTGGGAAGCGCAACTACAAGAGTAATACAAGCGAAATAACTCGGATCCACAATTTGGCCGTTTGAACCCAAGCTTCAGCAAATGGAAGATCCGGAGTGTGCCTTACTGGGGATGTTTGCAACAAANATTTGGCCGTTTGAACCCAAGCTTCAGCAAATGGAAGATCCGGAGTGTGCCTTACTGGGGATGTTTGCAACAAAGAAATTTTGCGTGGTATCGCTCTTGCGACCCTGATATCCATTATCCATTTTTTCTAAACTCTACCACATTCTGGAACAATGCACTGAATTCCACTGTGCTCACTTCCATGAATGCTTGCTCCGCGAACCAGGTTTTTACCCTCTCAAACATCTTAGCATAGAATTATGGACTCTTTAGTTCATCATCCAGTTAAGAGCTCGCTTCTATCTTAGTAGAAAGGCTTCGTTCCTTCATTGCATGACTGGTACTTCTAAGACATTGTTTACTACTGCCATTCCTTTTGTTTATTTCTACTATTGCTTTCCTCTACAAACTTTCTCCTCTTCCTCTAGCTACAAATTTGTCAAGAGCTCGAACTCCCAGACAATGTTCAGTCGGATGTGTTGGGTCTCTCTTTCCCACCCACTGACATCCGCTACTCATATGTTTTATACATTCTTCCCACCTGTTCGGCCGTTTTGTTGACGGTTGCCTTACTTACTGACCGCACGGTTCTACGCTTCCTTGCTACCTCACCCACCTGTGAAGGTACTGCTTTTCTACAGGGTCTCCGAATATGACCCAGGTCTTTTATCTGGCAATTCTGAAGTCTATAAAGGCACACTCACTGAGATCTTGCAGTTCCCCTCAACGAGGCGAGGCCCTACCATCGTCCGAAATACTTTTATATCGCAATGGACGACATGATGTGGATTACCTTCTGTGCGGCTATTAGCGTCAGTGTATGTGGAGTCATTATTTATCAGCACGTGAAACGCCAACACAAGAAGCAAATGGAAATTCTCACCGAGTTGATGCTTCAGCCCAGAGTCTTCAAGTGAGTTAACATCTTACGAGTATCCTTCGAAGTCGAGCCTCTCATTATCCCAAGATGTATCAGGGTGCAACAAATGGTGTGGATGGCGGAAAATACAACAAAGTTTAGAAAGCTTTATAATGGTTGTTTCCCCAAAGAAAGAGCTATCAACTGCTCTGAAGCATGGCTACAGTTCAGGCTTCATGTAGGAGCACATTATTGGGTAATCCTTCCCGTGAACCTACCCAGTCCACCGAAACCTCATCGCTTGAGGGTCAGCGGGCACAATATCCCGTTCCTCCGGAACTTCTGAAATGAAGCTTGTTCATCGGGTGCTTGCTGCTCGGATGTTCATTGAAAGCCTAGAGGAATCTACTCAATAGAGGCTTCAGTCCAAGCGTTATTATAGAACCGCACGATGTGTCCGGTCCACCTGACCAATTCTCTGGGTAAGCGACAGCGTGTCTGGTATTGGTTCATTGAAGGAGCTCGAAAATCCGGAATCCTTTCTGTAAATGCATGCGTGTATCGGTGAACTTCGAGCATTGTATAATACTTTCCACAGCGCATTGGATGACGCTGAATGCATGCTGACCCTTCATACATATAAACCAGTTTTTTAGAGTACGGTCAAGGCAGAATGAGCCCCAGTATTGAAAAGATTAGCGCAGAGGACATTGTATTCTGGTCTTTCTACTGATCCCTCGATTTTCTTAAACTCTCCTCAGGTTGCGTTTTTTCGCCAACCGGAGTTGATCGTTCATCATATTAACTTTTCGGCTTGGGCACACTTACACGGTAAGAGCATCCACTAATGATCGTACACTCGAGCGTAAGAGAAACATCGGTTTGACAGCCAAATTGCCTTCTTCAGTTCAAGGCCAATTTTCCTACAGTCTTTAAGAAATCATCCACTACATCTGCTCGATGGTCGGTGTTGTAAATACGATCTGCAAAGTGAAGGGAACAAATTCTAAGTGCCGGCCGTGTCTCCAGTCCCATGTTTTCTCGTTTTAAATGACGCATGATGTTTTTCAAGGGCGCTACTGAAATGTTTGGGCCAAGAGCTTCACGTCGACAATATCTTTTTGAATAGGAAAGCATGTGGTGAAGTTGCTGCGCAACTCATGAAGTAATTTTATATAATGAGTAGGAAAACCCTCGTGGCCCATGGCTTAAGTTACCGCTTTTGCCTCTGCAGTGTCCAAGACCTTTTTCAGCTCGATTAACGTAAGACCGAATGGTCTGTTCACTCTCGATGCTGTAATGGATCTTGCGACTGTGTGAGTATGATTGATCGTGAACTCTCTCCGGGGCCCTGCTAGCGTGCAAGGCTTTTTTTGCAATTCTAAGAAAAAACGCTAAAAATTCTTTCCATCTAAGTTGAAAAGTGTAGTGCTGTTTGAATAAGAAACGCCACTCTGTGCTTCGTTCAACGGTTCTTAGATCACTGATTAGTTCCTGTCGCCTACCCTGTTGTGTTTTGCATGCCAAAGTCTTTTTGGCTACAGGCCAGCTACGAATACAGCGGTGAAATTAGGATTTTCCTCTAGGCCAGGTGACGCTTATCTATATTATATCTTAGAGACTCACGACTGCAATCAAGCTTAAACAACTAAATGGCTAGTAGAAATCAGGCGAGGAATTAGGCTCAAGTAATGAAGACCTAATCGTCCTGAGGAGGAGGACTTCAAAACCGTCGGCAGTTGAATCATTTATCGGGGTTATGATGAAGTAACAAATTATGAGATGAGGTGGAATAAGATGAGAACAGATACCTTGATCTCCATACAATAAATGAGACTATTGTGTATAAAGTGTTACATATGAGAGTAACATGAGTGTAACTTTCGCTTCCGGGTCTAGGTCTCTAATTCTAGAGATCATATAGTGATCACATTACATAACTACAGTAATGACTCGTGCATCATGGCCATGGGGTGTGGTGCGATTCACGCGACAATATAATGAGGCCATCGGACAAAACGCGCTAAAACATCATGCCTACCATCATAACGGGAGAAATAAGGAAGTATAAGTAGAATAAGTAGAACAATGGCCAACTATGCACGTTTACACAAGGATTGCATCTTCTAGGATCAAAGAATTTGAAGTTTTATTTATTTATTTCAATACACCCAGGGGTGTGCCGTACAATATAAAAGCAGGACTCTGAGGCAATTCCTATCAACAAAAACCAGAAGAAAAAGCCCTGGAAGAAGAAATAGGAGAGAGCCTTGAGGCAGAGCCCAAGGCTGAAGACCAGACATCATGCTGTGAAAAGGAGGAACGAAGAAAACAGAGCAAGAATGTCGCATCGAGGGCATCATCAGTATCACACTGGGACCTCCCCTTTGTGTGGAGGTAAGCTGCTCTCCTCTGTGAAAAAAGAGGTATCTGACAAAGTTTTGCTCTGTGGTATAAAGACTCATAGAGGGCGCACTGGAGCTTGCTGACATGTCAGCCCTATATGAAAAATGCATCCAGAAAAAAAGTCGAGAGGATCAGATAGGACCTTAAGTCGGTGAATTTATCATCTCACAGGCTCCTCAAGCAGCTGGAACACAAATAGACAAAGGTAACAGCATCGTCGAAATTCTACAACCCTCAAACGACTTCTTGCTCCGGGGAGATGAACAATAGAAAGAAGAAGTAAAATAAAGAAATAAATGCAACACGATATGGCACAGTTATGAAAGAAACAATTAGGAAAGATAGGAGCTGCTGCAAACGAAGAGAAAAAAATATTAAGAATCGAGGCAATTGAGGATCAATCCTGACTAATAGCTCCAGAGATATGCGTGTAAACGTTGGACATGGATTAGTAGGACGGCAGTCGCTAGAGGTAACTGAAACGACAAAAACGATATGAGGACTTAGATATGTTCTTG